TGCTGCTGCTGCTGCTGCCGAGATGGAAGGGCCCTAGGGCTTGTGGCCGCGGCGTTTGTCTGCTGCGCTGCGGTGGGCTGCATGCAGCAAAAAAACCATAAAGGATTTTTAATTTATTTTTTATTTGCTGCGTTTTATTCTTGTATTTAATTTACTATTTTATGTAATTGTAGCTTTCGTTTTTTACTAATTAATTAACTTACAAATTAATTGAACAATTAATTATTTAATTACTTAATTATTTAATTATTTAATTATTTAATTATTTATTTAGTTAATTAGGTAATTAAACTAATTAACTAATTAATTAACTAGTCGATGAAATGACCAATCCGCCAATTTATTGCAAACCATTTAATCAACTAATTAATAAACTACTTACTTACTTAATTTAATTGAGTAAATTAATTAATTAATTAACCAACTTAATTATTTAATTACTCAGTTAATTAGTTGATTAATTAAATAACTAAATAATTAAATTAGCCGATCAATTAACTAATTAATTAATCAAACTAGTTATTTATTTAAGTTAGTTACTTTTTTAATTAAATTATTTATTTGTCAAATTAAATTAATTATTGGTTTAATTAAATAAGTTAATTGTTTATTTAAATTAATTTTTAATTTAATTAAATGAGTTTCTGAAACTCACCGCACCTCTTGTGTTGGCCTCGGGGGTAAAGAGAAAACTAATTCCCTTTTGAGCTCCTTCAGCTCCTCTTTCAAATCCTGAAAATAAAATATTTAATTTATTTATTTGTTCAAATTAAGCATTTTAATGCACTGCATGCATGCATGCATGCATGCATGCGTGCATGCATGCATTCAATGCATGCATGCACCACAAGCAGATGAGCGCAGAAGGCAACACAGCAGCAGCAACAACAGCAGCAAAAGCAGCAACAGCAGCGAAAGCAACACAAAATGAAAACAAGCCAAGCAGCAGGAGCAGCAGCCGCAGCAGCAGCAATAGCAGCAAGACACCAGCAACACCAGGAAGAACCGAAACAACAACTCAGCAGCAGCAGCAGCAGCCAGAACAACAGCAACAAGCCACCGGCATCAGCATCAGCAGCAGCAGCAGCAGCAGCAGCACCTTGTTTGTGTTTGTCAGAATATTGAAACCAAACTCCTGGAGTTCTGTGGCCTTTATAAAACCTTTCTGGAGGCTGCAGAAGAGACAGGGCGGGGTGGGGGCCCCCAGTACCCTTTTCTTTGGGGGGCCCCCCAGCAGCAGAACTGCAGCAAACGCAAAAGAGAGCAGCAGCAAACTGCAAAATGTGGCAGCAAAGAGACACGAAGCAGCAGCAAAATGTGGCAGCAAAGAGACGCAAAGCAGTAGCAAAATGAAGCAGCAAAGAGACACAAAGCAGCAGCAAAATGCAGCAGCAAAGAGACACAAAGCAGCAGCAGCAGCAACAAAAGAAACAGAAGACAGACACCCAAAGGAGAGCAGCAAAACGAAAATAAAAATAAAATTAAAATCTAAAAATGAAAAGAGAAAAACAAAAAAACGGACTACAAGAAAGTAGAATGAAAAGAGATTAGAGGAGATAAAAAGAAGCAGACAAAAAGCAAAAAAGAGAAAAGCAAAAACAAAATAAGATTTAAATATGAAAGAAAAACGAAGAAGAGAAAAAAGACAAAAAGAGATAAATAAAAAGACAAAATTAAAAAATAAAAACAAATTTCAATGCCAAAAAGAGGCAAATAGGCATTCTCAAAAGAGTCGAAAAAGGCCAAAAAAACATTTTTTAAATAAAAAGCAAAATAGATGCTTAAAATGTCCAACAAAAGATTTCTGAAAAGCCCCACTTCTCGTTGGCTTCTTTCATCTCAAAAGATAATAAATCTTTCACCAAAGCTGTCGGAAGTCTTCTTTTACTTCCCTCTTCAAAGTCTCCGTACAAAAATGAATCTCCGCTGGCTCTTGAGACGCTTCCCTCGCGCCCGGGGGCCCCCTGCAGGTGCTGCTGCTGCTTGGGCAACGACGCTGCTGCCTGAAATGGAAAAAACAAACATAAGAGAGTTTTTGTTTTAATGTTTCCTTTTTGATTATTTAATTATATCTTTTTTGACAATTTAAAAATAAAATAATGTTTAAATTTCCTTTTATTCTTTTTTATTTTTATTTTTTAATTACCTAACAAGCGAATTTCGTAAGGCGAGGGCCCCCCGTTCGGGTGTACGTACACCTGGCGGTCCCGAGCCTCTTTTGCTGCAGCTTTTGTCTCTTTGTTTCCCTGCTGCAGCACAACAGTAACTGCCCTAAACCCTAAACCCTAAACCCTAAACCCTAAACCCTAGGCCTTAAACCCTAAACCATAGGCAAGAAACAACTGGTCCAGAGGCAAGCGGATGTTTCTACAAATTTATATATTTATATATATATTTTCCCCAAATATGACATATTTAATATGAACATCTGTTAATGTGCACACACATCCTAAATGCCAAACCCTAAACCCTAATCCCTAAACCCTAAACCCTAGTTCCTGACCTTTGGAGTATGCGTCCCTCCCATCCCCTCGCCTCGTTCCCGCAGGAGCTCCCCTGGGGGGCTCCCTGGGGGGGCCCCCAGGGGGGCCCCCAGGGGGCCCCCCAGGGGGCCCCCCGGGGGGCCCCCCCCG